GTTTAAAATGACGTGCATTTCAAGGGTTATCGATAGGCACTAAGCGCATGTTCATACAAGGAGCTTTGGCGCGTGAATACGGTTTTGTATGTCGTTATACTAATGAGGACTAGGATCAGACAGTCTGTTATAAATTGCGACTATTTTCAGCGACGTTATGTGTTTATATCAAGGTTAAGAAAGCTTTTATTTACTGAGACAAAGCTTTGTAAGAATATAAATGGTTTTTGAGCAGAATTATGGATGATTTCACTTGCCCCAGTCTGTGGTATTTAACGCTTTCAGTGTTTGGGTACCCAAAACACTAGGGATTTGGGTACGGGGGTACCCAAAACACGGGGATACCCAAATCACTGTGACACCCCCTTTAAGTTCCCCTTACTGGAACCCAGTTTTCCACATGCAAACGACATAAACGACGAATGAACCTGGGAACGACACTAATTCAAGATGGCGGCCACCGACTTGAACGAAATGCGACGGTACTTTGAAAATAACTCAAGAACGAAAGACTTTGTTGCCCATACAGCCAAGGTTTGCAAAGAGAAACTATAATTTGGAGTTTAATTGGTGATATCTGGCCTGTAGATGTACTATTTGCATAGAGGATGTACTAAAACTTGAGAGTCGTGCTTTGGCGCAAAATGTAGCTTGTTAAGTTGTTTTGCGCGTGTTTTAGGTTCATTCGGTGGCGTGGAGCTGTGATGGTAGAAGACTTGCTTCAGGATCTTTCGATAGAACTGTCAGTATTTTTGTTCTAGAGAAAGATCGCTTGGTGAGTGCAGTTTCCATTTTTCTATTTACAGCTTTTAGATTTCTAGATCTTATATTTTTACTTTAATTCAACTCCTTATTTAAGTTTAAGACTTATTTGAATTGATTAAACTGACAGCTGTACCATCTTTGCTAGACAAAAGAAACAACCCATAAAGGCCACGGTGAGAGTGTCGATCAGCTCTGTTGGCATCCTAGCAATTCAGATCTCCTTGTGACTGCGTCTGGGGATAAAACTATCAGAATATGGGATGCAAGAGGTAAATTTATGAAGTCATCAATTTCATTAAGCTTATATTTTGGGGGGATGGTACAGTGCCCAGGATTGAGCAGTTGGGATTTCAGCCCTGGCAGGGGATCATTACACTGTGTTGTCTTGAGGGCAGGGGGGAGGGCAGGTGGGAGGGCAGGTGGGAGGGAGGGGAAACCCTTCAATGGAACATGTTTAAAACACAAAATCACGAAATGGTACTGCAGTTAGCCTAAATATCACTGACTCTACAGTGTTTACCTTCCAATAATTGTAAGGGTTAACCCTTTAAGACACCTGTATCCCGCATTGACTTATCCACAGTGCCATTTCATCATTTTACCATTTGTTTTAAACACGCCCCATCAATGGACTAGTATCCAGGGTGGAGTAGAAATACATACACTCCTGGTCAATTCATACTCAGGAAGCCAGGGATAAGAGCTGCACTGATAGGTCAGTAGCCTCAATATAGACTTTACCTACATTGTGCCTTGTGCCTTTTAATAACCTACATATCTGCATTTAGCATTCTACATTTAAAATGCTGACACGTTAAACTACTAATATGCACTTGAGTATACGAAGACTCTCTTATTGTAATTTCTTTTTACAGCTAACAAGTGTGTGTCAGTAGTAAATACTAAAGGAGAGAATATTAACATATGTTGGAGTCCTGATGGCAACACAATAGCAGTGGGAAATAAGGTA